CGGCCATCTGCTGAGGCCCACTGGGGTTCAAGGAGACAGAAGCAGACATAGAAAAAGAAGCATAGATACAAAAGGCAACACCAAGTTCATATTTTGCTCTTATTTACAGCAAGAATCTGATAATAAAAAAATTAAAAAAACTATACAAACATAGTATGCATGCACCTGTAAAAAAACTTCCTACAGCTGGCAGACTGCTTGTTTTTACAGCAAAATGCTTCACAGGAAGACATTTTTACTGCGTGTCTCTGTGGGAGTGGGGAGTACCAACATGGTGGATGGGCGTGAGAAGTTGTGGAGAAACTGTTAAGAAAAGGTTTAAATTTCTTTTCTGTCCGCAGACGGACAGAAAAGCTCTGTCCACAGATTTATACTGCTCCAATCCCAACAAACACACACTCTGCCCTGGAACTATCCCACCCCCTGCTTAAAGAACTTCCTCACAGATGAACATTTGGAGGAAAACAACTTAAGTTCATCAACAACATTCCCTGTTAGGTTAATATATCTTTCTCTGGCCATCTTTTATCACCCCCAGCCTTCCTTTCACCCCAGTTTTGCTGAGTAAAAACATTCTTCCAGTCCAGTGAATAAACAGATCAGTGGTTCAGATGAAGGTTTTTTTTTTTAGGAAGTTTTCACGTCGTTTAAACTCTTTGTTTACAGGGACTTCTCACTCTGAGCGGTTTAATCTGAAGCCATGTTTGTTTATGGGCGAGGTTCTGATCTCCGTGTCGTCCGTCTTCTGTTCAGTATCGGTGCGTCTGTCGTCTCTAATTTATACCTGAGGCTTCCTTTCTGTAATCAGGACAGGATGCAGACTGATTCTCATCTTTTTAAAATCACATTATTTCAAATGTAAGTTGCTTAAACTGAATATTCAGCTGCTTGGGTGGGGGTGGGGGTGGGGGGGTGTTAGCACAGGAGAAGCTGAGCAGCCTGGGAGAAGCTCTCTACTGCCACACAGATCCAGCCTCTCCTCAGCCCGATCCGTGTCCCTCCACCTGGACGCCTCATGGCGGCTCGGAGGAGCTGCTCCGGGCAACGCCGCTCAGGTGGAGGGCTCCATCGTTACAGGAACGCCGAGGCAGATGGTTCGAAATATCTGGAATTCAGCTGGTTTTACTTTTGTTTTACAATAAAATATGTATAAAATGCAGATCGTTTTTTTGTTTTTATTTTGTCAGCATTTTGTATCAAAGCATCAATTAAAGGATATTTGAAGTTTTTCACATTGAGAAGCAATTAAAAACGAATGGAATAAAAAAAAAAAAACATCTTTTAAGACACCAATATGGTGAGGAGTCAGGTAAAAAAAAGTACAAATACTTGATTACTTTAAGTAAAAATCTTCTCTATACTCTACTGAGGTCATTATTTTTTTGATAACATTTTTTACTCCTTACATTTTAAAAGCAGACTTGTTAGTTTTGATCATTTAAACTCATATTTGTTATGGTCTGTTGGCATATATATATATAAAAAAAAAAAAAAAAAACTGCTTAAAAAAAAACTCCAAAATAATTAGTTACATCCAGATAATTTCTTTGTAGTTGGACTCGGCGTTGCCTCAACTTGTTGCTCTCTACATATCAAAATAAATAGATTTTCAAGATGAGTCAATGTTAAATGTTATGAAGGAATATTAGGGCCAGGCTAGAGATTTCTTCTTTTTTTTCTGTTTCGAGAATAAATTCGCAACGAGAATAAAGTCAAAAAATTAGGACAATATTCATAAAATTACGAGAATAGTCATACAATTACAAGAATAAAATCGTAAAATTACGAGAACAGAGTCGTAAAATTAAAAGAATAAATTAGTACAATTACTAGAATAAAGTAATACATTTATGAGAATAAAATTACGAGAATAAATTAGTTACATCCAGACAATTAATTTCTTTGTAGTTGGACTCTGCGTTGCCTCAATTTGTTGCTCTCTACACATCAAAATAAATCGTTTTTCAAGATGATTCAATGTTAAATGTTACGAAGGAATATTAGGGCCAGGCTAAAGATTTCTTTTTTTCTTCTATTTCGAGAATAATGTCACAACGAGAATAAAGTCAAAAAATTACAACAATATTCATAAAATTACAAGAATAAAGTCGTAAAATTACGAGAACAGAGTCGTAAAATTACAAGAATAAATTAGTACAATTACTAGAATAAACTCATAAATTTACGAGAATAAAGTCACAACGAATATATATATAATATATAAGAATGCGGTGAGTAGAACACAGACCAAGCTACATCAGTTCAAACATGACTCAAAGTTGTTTTTCCTTCTCAAAAATGATAGGTCTAGTTTGAACAGCAGTAATAAAGACATGCTTGAGAAAAGGCAGGTCTCATTGTTTTAAATTTGTTCTACATCATTTCAACCACAAATGTAGAAAATCTCAGACGTCTAGCTGCAACGGTTGCAGAGCTGTGGGGCTTTTAACTTTTGGTGCAAATCTCTCCACATGTGCAAAATGCTTTAACTCCGCTATCTGACCCGTAGAATAACACTGAAGCATTTTGATGACCACTAAACATTCTTGAAGAAAGTATTTTTGCACTTTTTTCCATTTCCATCTGATGATTGACTGGTGAGGTCACCACCCTATATCGTTTCCCGATTCGTCTTTTTTTCAAATATTATTCAGAACATAATGCGGAAAGAAAAAAAAACGCTAAACCACTTTGAACTTTTGACACCTCTGCCAATATGGAGGACAAAAGCCGGATTAGATTGTAGAGCAGGACAATTCTGCCAGTATCCTGCAACCTTCAGAACACCTGAATCAAACAGCTGAATTACCTCATCAGGATGCAGTTGGTTCCTCCAGACTCCTCTCAATCATCTAATTACTTGATTCAGGTTTTGTTGAACCAAAGGAACATCTAGTTGCAGGATAGCGGCCCTCAGGAACTGGAATTGCCGTCCGCTGCTCTATAGCCTCTGTTCAATCCAACAGCGGAACATTTTCTAATGCGTTTAGTTTCAGTACCACCAAACCCCGCATGAATGTATGCTTAGCTTCTCTGCTACTCACCTGTGGATCCGTTTCCATGCCAACTATGAAGGTGGAACCAGCCGGAGGAAGAATAATCCACCTGTGATTGGCTACCTTACAGGAAGTCCCTCCTCGGTCATATTCAGAATTCAAACTTTACTTTAAATGTGAAATTATTCCAACAGCTAGCTAACAGCTGTTAGCCAGGGACACTGGGGACATGTGGTCCAAACGGGGACCGTACCCTGGAAATCGGGACGTCTGGTCAAAGTATCGTATGAGCTAAGCTAACTTTAGCTTCAATGTTTATATTGAGGAAAATGAGGCTGGAATACGGTGACCAGACGCCCCCCAATTTCAGGGGACAGTCCCCATTTTGGACCACCTGTCCCCGGTGTAGGTACCAGATTGACTCGGGCTGCCAGATTGACTCGGGGGGCCTGCGCCTTTTGATGACGTCATAATATGGCAACTCCGCCCGTCACTATATGGCAACGCCACTCGTAACGATAAGGCAACTCCACTCAA